AACCCAGATTACTATACCCAGCCAAAATGTCTATTATAGTTGAAGGGGAAAGAAAAACCTTCCATGACATAAATAGGCTGAAGGAATACTCCACAAAATCAGCAGCCCTTTGGAGAGTTCTGGAAGCAATACAAAGTGTGAAGGAAAGGAATGGCTATACCCAAGGAGTTACAGAAAGAAATCCAAGGAAGGTATAACTGTGGAAAAGTACAGCTATATCAAGAATGTAAACAGAAATAAAATGACATGATTCAATACTCATCTTTCATTAATAACTTTAAATATTAATGGACTGAACTCCCCAGTCAAAAGACACAGACTAGGTGAATGGATTAAGAAACAAAACCCATCTTCTTGTTATCTGCAAGAAACTCATCTCACTTTCAAGGACAGGCACTATTTTAAGGTGAAAGGATGGAAAAAAATATACCAAGCAATAAGTGAATGATACTAAGCAGGTATTGCAATTCTAATATCTGACAAAATAGACTTTAAACTACAACTAATCAGAAGAGAAAAAGAGGGCCACTTCATTCTGATCAAAGGAACAATAAACCAAGAAGATATTACAATCATGAGCATATATTCACCAAACTCTGGTGCACCCAAATTCATAAAAACAATACTACAGGACTTTAAGACCCAGATTAATCCCAACTCATTAATAGTAGGGGACTTCAATACCCCACTGTCTTCATTAGATAGGTCAACAGGGGAGAGAGTTAACAGAGAGACATCTGAATTAAATGATACCATATATCAGATGGACCTAACAGACATCTACCGAGTATTCCACCCAAGCACCAAAGGATGTCCTTTCTACTCAGCACCCCATGGATCCTTCTCCAAAATTGACCATATACTGGGGCACAAAAGAAACCTCAACAAATACAAAAAGATTGAAATAATTCCATGCATTCTATCAGACCACAATGCAATAAAGCTTACAATCAACACCGGAAGAAACCCTAGTCACCACATGAACCCATGGAGATTAAACGACACACTCCTAAATGATGAATGGGTCAAAAGAGAAGTTAAGAAAGAAATGAAAGTATTCCTGGAACTAAATGAAAAGGACAATACAACACGACAAAACCTCTGGGACACGCTGAAAGCTGTCTTTAGAGGGAAGTTTATAGCTGTAAGTGCCTACATCAAAAAATAGGAAAGAAGACAAATAAATGACTTAACATTGCATCTCAAGACACTTGAAAAGCAACAACAAATGAAACCCAAACCCAGTAGGCAAGAAGAAATAACCAAAAACAGGGCAGAAATTAATGAAATAGAAACAAAGAAAACAGTACAAAGAATCAACCAATCCAAGAGCTGGTTCTTTGAG